GGTTTTGTTGCTGGCAGCTGTTGCTTTTTGATGCCTTGGTGCTGCTTGGGTTGGGATCTCTTTGGCCTGACACACACCACGCTGACAGGAAGGCTCTCAGGCTGGTGGGGTATGGGCTGTGCATCTCTGAGAACACCAGTGAGGCGTTGGGTTTCCTTTCGGAGCTTGGAAACAACTTGAATTTTCTGCAGCTCAGCCTGGGCATGCCCAGAGCCCTGGAGGGAGGCTGCACCCCATCCCCTAGTGCAGATACCCCTGTGTCAGCAAGGAAGGGGCTGAGAGGCAATCCCCATTTGCCATAACCCTGTGCAGCTCTGAAGCCAAGTGCGTTGACAACAGAGACCCCCATGCAGAGCAGGGCACGCTCAGCCTCTGCCCAAAAGGGTTTGCTTGTGCCTTGCAGAAACAGCAGCACCCGGTGGGGTCGGAGCATCCCCAATTCTCCTGTCCAGGGGAGTGCAAGACCCAGAAGAATGCGGCCAGGCTGATGTCCTTTTGCTGCTGGATCGCGATGAGGACTCCCAGCCCGGCCCCAAGCAGGGAGCTCGCTACTGAGGCTGCCAGGACAGGGCTGCCTTGTGTGTGGGAGGGATGGCAATGGGCCGTGAACCCTCTGTCACGCAGCCAAAACACTCTCAGGGCTGCTGGTAATAAAAAACCTCTCCTGAGTGAACAGGAATTGGGCTCGGAGTTCAGCCTGGGGTATATGGGTCATCATTTGGAGTCACAGCTTGTCGCAGGCTTCCTGGCCCAACATTTTGGGGACGTGGAACTGGGGTCCCTCCTGTCTGCTGAGCTGGGGCCTGTGGAGGTCCACTGGGTCCTCCGTAGTTTTGTTCGTCCCTGAGCACCTTGGACTTTGCCCGAAGGGCTGAGAAAAGTGAGATAAGAATTACTGCACTGGGGCTATGGATCTGGGACCTTTTTTCTCTCAGCCTGCTCAACCAGTTTTTGCTCTTGGCTGAAAACAACCTGGCACACACAGGAAAAAATAAGGAAGTTTTCCAGCCAGATCAGTTCTTCAATCTGGTTTGCTGTGCAGAAGCAGCAGTGCCAATGCAGTGCTGGGGGAGGCAGGACCACCCCTGGAGGTGCAGCTGCCACCCCAATTCAGCTGATGCCCTGCTGGGGACATCTAATATGACACTCTGTCACCCTGCAGCACTGGGTGCTGGAATAAACCATGCAGGGTGGCACTGAGGGCTAGGAGCACTTGGTTTGGGGAATCCTTCTGGTGTCCTGCAGGTCTGGGGTCTCTTGGAGGGCAGTGATGGGGCTTGTGGGCATCCTGGAGGGGAGGAGAAGAAAAGGCCTGGTTGCAGCCTATAGCTGGAGTCTTTTATGTCTGTTTTGTGCCCTGTGTGGTTAAACCAGGCCAATTTGGGGTGAGAGGAGTGAGATGGGGAAGAAACCCCAAAACGGCCTCTTCTTGGGTGCCCATGAAGCCAGGGAGGAAATCAGGGCTCCATCAGAGCCCTGCTGGGTGGCTTGGTAGGATCTGGCTTTGCAAAGCCCACAGCACCCCGAATGGCAGGGTCTGGGGTGCAAGGGGCTGAGCAGAAATACTTCTGTGACATTCATCACCCTTTAGGAACAGTCCCTGCAGTGCTGGGGGGTCCCCTCTGCTTTTTTGGCAGGTGTGGTCTGTGCCCAGTGGGATGTAGGTGCATGCCCTGTTGTCATGAGTCCCCTGCCATGAAGGGGTTTTGGTGCCTTTGCTCTGCCCTGGCTTTGTGGGGTGCAGCTTTGGGGGGCGATGGGCACTGTTGTGACCCCCTCCTCGCTGTCTTCTCTTGCAGAAATGGCAGCGTCGGTTCTTCATCCTGTACGAGCACGGGCTGCTGCGCTACGCCCTGGACGAGATGGTAAGTGCTGCCTGGCACAGACCTGCGGTGGGTTTGGGCTGCCCGTGCCGTGGAGCCTGGGCCACCTCTGCTGCCCTCGGAGTGGCCTGAGGCAAAGCTCCCAGTGTGCGGCGTGGGGAGATCTCTGCCAAACTGGTGAAGGGTTTTGCTTCTCTGCCACACTGGGTGTGTGGGGGAGCTCGGCGCAGTCTGCGGAGGGTGGTGGGTGTTTTGGAGGTGTGTAGGTCCCATTTGGCATGGGGTTGGTCTGTTGCCAGTGGATTCCATGCTGATGGGGTGTGCTTCAGGGTCCTCCTGGCTCCTTTTTGCCCTGATCCTCAGTGCCAGCTGGGGTTTGGGGGTGAGGAATCGCCCAGGAAGGAGGCCCTGCGTGGCAATGCCCATGGAAAGCAGGTCAGCCAGAACGCCTTCCCACCGCTCATCCACCCCAGAGCCACAATACAGCATCAGTACCACTTTCTTTGGTAGAAAAGAGACCAAAGGAAGGGGAAACCCTCCCACAGGGTAGGGGTCAGCCCTGTCGTGACCACCCAGGAAGGCCAATTTATTCTTGTGGCTACAGCAAGCCCATGGGCTCCCAGCACCTTGGCTCTCCTGTGAGGGCACTGAGGGGCTGGGGGCTATGGCAGCACAGCGAGCGTCGCTCGAGTTTCATGCCTTGTTTGTTTGTATTTTTTCTTGGGGTTGGTCCAAGTGCCCTAAATAATTTAAATGACTCGGGTAGGAGCGGTGGAGGCTTTCAATACATTTTTAGTGTCTCAGCAACCTGGCTCTGTGCTGAGCTTGTGTTTCCTGTCGTACAGCGACAGGAGAGCAGCGTGGGGGGAGATGCCCTGATCTGAGGAGAGGTGAAAAGGTGTTGGAGAAACCCAATTTTTAATGTTTGTTTGGGGTTGCTCTTCATGTTTCGCATCCTCAGGAGGTTGCCCCAGCCCTGTGCCCACCACAGCTCAGACTGGTTGGGGTTGCTGGGGGACACTGGTTTCCCCACCAAGGTGCTCATCTGCTCCCCCTCTCTGGCTGTGCCAGGTCCTTGCTGTGTCCCCACTACCTCCATGGACCAGGGACCTCACCCAGGAGACGCCTTCCCTGTCCACACAGTATTTTGCCTGGAGGATCCTCTTTGCACCCCATGCATTGACAATCTACCCCCAGCATGGCCCAGTTGCCCCTTTGGGAGCTGGATGAGGGTATTGCGGGGTCCTTGGTGCCTCTGCAGCGTGCCAGAAGCCGGGCAGCAGCTGGCCAGAGACCTCCCAGGCAGCAGGGATTGAATTGCTTTGCCTTGAACCTGTTAGACATTAATTTTGTGGGTTTGGCAATTTCTGCTCTTATTAAAAGCGGGAGGGGAGGGAAGGGAGCCCCAGGCTGGCGATGGCAGCAGAGATGCTCCTGGCCAGGGAGACCCCATATCTTGGTCCCAGCAGGTTGGAGAGCAGCAGGGTATGGAGAGGTTCAGGAGTTCTTGGTTAAGATTCGGGAGCTGCCACAGAAATGGTGCTGGAGCCAGAGAGTGGCAAGTGTGGAGTATTTGTCTCCCTTTGTTTTGATTGCTGCGCTCTATAATTAGCGGCCAAGGTCTCTATAAATAGAGCTGTGCTGCGTGGGAACGCAGTGGAGAGGCAGTGGGTGCACAGGAGGGGTTTTGGAGGGGTGGAGAGCGCTGTCCCGTGGAGGGACCCGTGGGTGAGCGATGGTCTCAGCGCTGCCTGGGGACAGATCCAGAGCAGGTCAGAAAAGAGGGGCTGGATCTCCAGCCCATCCTAATGCTTCATTACGTGTCCACAGGCCAGGCCTAGTCTCTGTGCCTCAGTTTACCCCTCTTACCACTTGCCTTGGGCTGGGATTTATACGAGGTTGGACTTCAGTGAGAGCTGCATCCTCCCTGGAGGTATTCTCCATCACAGCAGGCCTCCTTTCGGTGGCTACCTGAAACCAGTAATTTTGGATTTTTTCTACGTGGATATGCTGGTTTGAAAGCAGGACGAGATTCAGGCTCGTTTGGGAGCATCTCAGATGTGCTGGTGTTGTGGGTAACTCACGCCAAGGTGAGAGCATCTTCTGGGTGGGGATGAGGAGGAGCATCCCTGGACACGACGTGTCCTTCTCCCAAAAAACCCAGCCTCGCTCCATGTCTAATGCCTTCCTAAAGCAGGAATTGGGGTGGATCGTAACAGCGTTAACCTCAGTGCAATGGAGGGGATGTCCCTGCTCCAGCCCACGATGGAGGAGGTCAGGAGGGAGCTGATGGGAGCGGGGCAGGATGAAGAGGAAGGCCAGGCTGACATCTGGCAGTGGTTAGGGGAGCACTGGGACCCCCGGCGTGGGTGTGTGAACAGGAGAAGAGGGGCCAGCTCGGAGGTGGGGGTCTGGCACCGCTCAGGGGGCTCCTGGGTCACATCTGGAGCCCTGTGCGACCCTGCTCCCGGCTGCGGAAACCAGGGGTAAGCGTTGGTGGCTGGTGGTGGAGATCAGAGCGATGATGCTGTGATGCATACCCGTGTGCAATTGCTATTTCCTCATCAGCCCGCCTCCAAAATCCTCTGCATTTGGAAGAAAGGGGCATTTAAAAGCAGCGCTGGGCTGTGTTAGTTTTCATCGTAGCTCCTTCCTTTGTCATCTGTGGGGTTTTAAGCAGCCAAGAATCCGTGCGTGTGTTTTTCTCCTCCTTTTCAGATCAAAGCAGTTTACTTCAGTCTTGGCATGGAATGGAAATTCATTGGCAGGGATTAAAAACGAACCTTAAACATCCTGGCCTCCCTGTCCTTACTTTTTCCACGCGTTTCACCATTTAAATGTTTCCAAAAATCTCCCTGCCTCCTCCTCCACGGGAGCACTGGGCTTTATAAACCCCAATTCCCTTCATCCATGGTCTTTTCCCCCCACGGATGTAATTTTGCCCCTGTGCTTCTGTTTGCCAGATCTTCAAGACTTTCAGTTTCTGTTTAGCATAAAAAGGTTTTTTTGGCTCGAATCGAAGCATGTTTCAAATTTAAAGCGAGCTGAGACGGAAAGGGCTGGAGGGAAGCAGCTCTGTGAGACTCAGACGGCAGCAGGGACCCACTCCAGATCTTATCCACGGTGTTGGTGTTGCAGCAGGAGGACGTCCTTCCCAGCTCCTCTGGGTTTTGGGTTGACCCCAATGGAGGGGGAGGGCGATCCCTTGGCCGCATCCTGTGATGGTCCAGAGGTGGACGCTGGTGGTAGCGCCCTGCCAGTCCCATCAGTTGATGCAGTGGGGGAAGTGGCTCCATCCAGGAGCTGCTGGGTTCGTGGTTGTGGTGTGGATGGGAGCGATGGGCAGAAGAGACTGGGAAATAACTGGTTTGGTGGGGAGTGGGGTGGAAGATGATCTATGGGCTGTTTGGTGTGTATCTCAAAGATGATGCAGTAGAAATAAGGAAGTTTGGGGAATGGTTGGGAAGCAGTGATCCTTTCTCCTCCAGGAGAGTGACACCTAAAGTCAGGGTGCAAGGAAAGGGAACAAAGCATCTCCTTGTGGTTGCTGTACAGGAGATGTAGAGACAGCACAAGGGCTGGTGGTTCATGACAGCCCGGAGATCTTTGATGGCTTTGTTGTGTTTAATTTTCAGTGCTGCTTTTGGGGTGAATAAATCCATGAACCTACAGAGAGCCCTGGGAACTTGTTCCCCAGGACATTGCTGATGCCAGGACCAAGCAGCCCTGAAGGTTTGGGAGGATACGCAGATATTAATTCATGATCTTTCTAATATCAGTGTCTTGCCTGATGCTGATCCGGTGTTGTTTTGTTCATTCGAGTTGGGTGTGAGGGTCCCGTAACTGTGGCTGCAGGGGGTTCATGTCTTTCCTTTTCTCTGCCCTCAAAGTGTCCATCCCCATGGCTGCTGGTGGTGGGTCCTATTTTCAAGACACCTGTGGGCACTTCCACAAGTTGTTCCCTGCCCTCTTTGGTTTACCTCTCTCAGTCTGGTTCAGTGTGGTGTTTTGGGGAGTAAAACTGCTGAGCTGCAGACGGGCGGTCGTGGGGGCTGAAGGAACAGGGAAGGTCTTCTCCAGGGATGGCCCCATGGCCAGGGACCATCACTAGGACCCCAAAAGTGCTTCTGTTTCCTGTGAGCACAGGCAGATGAAGCTGCCTGTTTCTGTTCACACCATCTTGCGCGTGGATGGAGGACGCCGATGTCCACATCCGAGCCCCCTGAGGAGGTGGGTGCCTGCAGGACCCGCACGCATGAGAAGCCCCATTGCAGAGCAGCCCTTGGTAGGGATTTTGGGAGTTAACAGGAGGCGAGAGGATGAAAGCAGCATTGGGAGAGGTCGACCTCCTAACGAAGGAGCAGCTTTGATGACCTGGGCCAGGTGCTTCCTTCCTGGAAACAACACAGCCCCTATTGTCTTCCTCGGGCTGGAGTTGCTCTTGGGCTGAGCAACAGGAGCAGGTTGAAGTGGCTCCGTCCTTTCTGTTTTTTCCCTGCTCCTCCAGCTCTTGAGACCCAGCAGAGACGCTTGTGTAGAAGACGTGTGCGAGAGCAGCGAGGGAAACGAGCTGGATTTTAAATTGCATTTATCTGGTTTATAGGGTGATACAGGCGCTTGCAGCAGCTGCAGTTTCTTCTTTGTGACTTCTGGGCTCTGTACCCGCAGCCTCCAGCTTTGCTACAGGCTCTCAGCAAAAGAAAAACCGTGATGGGCTGTAAAATGTTAGTGCAGAAATGAAACCCACCTCTAACGGCGTTTAGCAGTGGAGATGTCAGAGCTGGGAGTGAAATGACACAGCTACAGCTCAACGCGTGATTACCCCCGTGTGAGACCTTTGGGCCTGGCTTTGCACGGTGGCCTGGGCTCTGCCTTTCCTCCGCATCCCATCACGCTGTAAATGTCGAACAAAACGCAGCGCTCCAGCAGCAGACAGATGGTAGCGCTGGTATTTACTACAGGCAGCTGCTCTGGTTGCTTTCTCCTTTATTTTTTTGTTGGTTTTTTTTTTCCAGTTTTCTTGTGGAGCGGTTGAAACGAAG